AAAGAAAGAAAGAAAGAAAGAAAGAAAGAAAGAAAGAAAAAAGAGCTGTGGATGTAATTTACTGTGATGGTTCTATGTTCAATACACAGTATCACCACACACACACACACACACACACACACACACACACACAATGAAGGAAGAAGGGGGTTGAGGGTGGGAAGCCCACCTAACTTTTTGCCCTCCCATTTAGTAAAGATAAAAGTGACAATCATTCAGAGGTCAAGAGAGATCAAAGAAACAGGCATTCTCCATGGCTATGAAGCTGGAATGTGGGACAATCTTTCAGACAGAGAAGCTGACAATAAAGTTTAAAAATGAACAGACTCTGATGTGGCAATTCCATTTTCTTTTTGTTTTTCAGTACGAGGGATCAAACTTGGGGCCTCGCGCTTGCCAAGCAGGCGCTTATATCGCTGAACTATCTTCCCTGTAATTTCATTGTCAAGGCATAGAGGAATCATGGATACACATAAAATATTTAACTTTTAAAAATATAATACAATATTATTTGTAACAGCGAAATTAATGTAAATTAGTTAAGGGATCAAAAACAAAGAGAAAAAATTAAAATATATAGAAATAAAGGTGCTGGCATAGAGAGCTTAGCACAGTGTTACCAGCTAGAAAGGAAAGGGAGAAAGGAGAGTGTTAGCTGTGACCTCCAACTTCATTTCTACAATTTGATCTTCCTATCTGCTTAGAAAAAAAATCTGCAAGTTGGCAGTGGTCAAATTTAAGTGTTTGTAGTTATCTATCCTTATTTTCTGATTTTCCTTTAAAAAATGATTTTTCTGGAAGTTTTTATGGTGCTGTGATTAAACCCAAGGCCTCACACCTGCTAGGCAAACACCCTACCACTCAGCGGTATTCCCAGCCCAAGATGATGTATTTTTTAAAAATCTCTTATTTGTTTATTTATTTGGTACAGTGTCCCGCTATGCAGCTCAGACTTGCAGTGATCTTCCTGTCTCTGCCTCCCTGGGGCTGGGATACAGCATGCCACCATGCCCACTTGCAGCGGCCAGCTGGGCAGGGCGGACAGGGCGCGCGCCCAGGGATCCGATCTGGGCCCTGGCGCTTGCCAGGCCGGTGCACAGACGGCAGAGCCTTCTCCCCCGGCCCCAGTGATGTATTTTTTAAAAAGCCAACATTTCAGTTGAATTTTCCCTCTAATTCTCTCATCAATTTTTCTTTATTCCATTATCTTTTTAAAGTTTTTCTATCAATAAATTTTTTTTTGGCATGTGCTAGTCTTGGGGATTGAAAACAGGGCAGAGCAGGTGAGTACACTGCCACTGATCTATCCCCAAGCCTAATTTTTTTTTTTTTTTTTTTTTTTTTTGATATAGTATCTATACAAATCTGCCCAGACTGGTCTTCAACCTGTTTTTCTTTTTTAAATTCTCATAGTATTTATTCATGTGAATAGCTTTGCAAAAATAGTAGCACTCAATTTGCTTAGCAGATACTGACAGCTAGTTTTATTTTTTTGTTTGTTTTTTGTGGAACC